ATTGAAGGAACTGGCAAAGAACAAGGCACCAGGAATTGATGGAATAAAAATTGAAATCTTTCAAGAAAGTGAGGCGGCACTGAAGGCACTCACTCATCTATGCTGAGAAATTTTGACGATAACTATCTGGCCGACTGATTGGAAGAGATCCAATATTTGTGCCCATTCCAAAGAGAGGTGACCCAATGGAATGCGGAAATAATCAGACAATCTCTTTGAAATCCCATGTGAGTAAAGTTTTACTAACGGTAATACAGAAACAGCTGCAAGCATACACTGACAGAGAACTTCCAGAAATTCAAGTTGGATTCAGAAAAGGACGTGGAACAAGGGATATTATTGCTGATGTCCAATGGATCTTGGCTGAAAGCAGAGAATACCAGAAAGTTGTTTACTATTTTTTATTGACTACAAAAAGGCTTTCGATTGTGTGGATCATGACAAACTATGGACAACATTACAAAGTATGAGTATTCCGGAACACTTAATTGTGCCAATGAGGAATCTGTACATGGATCAAGAAGCAGTTGTTTGAGCAGAACATGGGGACACTGAATGGTTTAAAATTAAGAAAGGTTTGCAACAGGGTTGTATTCTTTCACCATATGTATTCAATCTGTATGCTGAGCAGATAATCCGAGAAGCTGGCTTATATGAAGAAAAACATGGCATCAGGATTGGAGGAAGATTCATTAACAACCTTGCTTGCTGAAAGTGAAGAGGACTTAAGATACTTACTGATGAAGAGCAAAGACCACAGCCTTAGGTTTGGATTGCATTTCAATGTAAAGAAGACAAAAATCCTCACCCTGGACCAATAAACAACATTCTTATCAACAGAGAAGAAATTGAAGTTGTCAAGGACTTCATTCTTCTTGGATCAAACATCAATACTTATTAAATCAGCAGTCAAGAAATCAAACGACATATTGCATTAGGCAAACCTGCTGCACAAGACCTTTTAAAAGTGTTGAAGAACAAAGATGTCAGCTTGAGGACTAAGGTGCGCCTAACCCAAGGCATGGTATTTTCAATAACCTCATATGCGTGCGAAAGTTGGACAGAGAATAAGGAAGACCATAGAAGAATTGATGCTTTTGAGTCATGGTGTTGGGGGAGAATATTGAAAGTGACATGGGCTGCCAAAAGAACCAACAGATCTGTGTTGGAAGAAATGCAGCCAGAGTACTGCTTGGAGGCCAAGATGGCCAAACTTCGTCTCTCATACTTTGGACATATTGCCAGGAGGGACCAGTCGCTGGAGAAGGATATCATATTTGGTAAAGTGGAGGGTCAGAGAAAAAGAGGAAGACCCCCAACGAGATGGATTGGCCAAGAGGCAGCATCAATGGGCTCAAGCAGGGCAACAATCATGAGGTTGGCCCAGGATCGGGCAGTGTTTCGTTCTGTTGTGTATAGGGTCACTATGAGTTGGTACGGACTCGATGGCACCTAACAACAACATGTCTCCTCAGGGAGCTTACAGTCTAGAGAACAAGTCAGACATTAATTAGATAAAAATTGCAACTGGGATCATTTTAATGAGGGAGAGGTTCACGATGGCACTGATGTGACAGCCTATGACTGGAAGGTCAGAAAAGGCTTCCCTGAGAGAGTGGGGCTTGAGCTGAAATGTGATGGATAGGAACGGGGTTAACCAGGTACAAGGAGCAGGCAAGAGCAGTTTTGTTAGAGAGGCAGCACATGTAAAATCCTGTGGTGGTGGTGCTGGACCAATGGCAGGTAAGGCTATTGGGACCAGCCAGGTGAAGTGCACAGCCTTTATCCTAGAAGCCTGAAGGGTGTTAAGCCCAGGGACAGGCCAACTCTGTGTTTGGAGAAGATCCCTCTCCCTGCTGTGTGCAATTATCTCTATACTGAACTCAAGCAAAAACTCTAACTGTCCGGCTACTTCATCCTCTCTCCTACCTCAGGGACCACAGATTTAATGCTTCCTGCTGACAAGTGTTTGGGGAGGGCAGCCTCCCCTGCTGTAACTTCCATTGCCTCCCTGCCACCCAGTTCCTTCACCAGGGGGCGCTGTTCCCATCCTCCCCTAACTTCGGATAGATCTCTGAATGCCCTTCAGTTTGTCCTTTCTCTCTCAAAGTGCAGTGCTGAGAATGGAATGTAAAACCAGGGGGAGGGCAGGGAAAGGCAAATGGAGAATGGTTATTGAACAAGCTGAAAACTGCCAAAAACATAAACTCTCACTTTGAAACCACCCTCTGATGGAAATGGAGAACCATAAAACGGAGAATAATGAACATAAAACAACTAAAGTCTATTTAAAATGCTGAGTGGCCAAAGGATATCACAAGAGGGAGGGCAGAGGCCCATGTCATCCTTTAGACTGAGGTTGGGTCACCCCACAGGAAAAGAGGAGCAACTGAACATTTAAAAAACGAGTCCTGTGAAGTGGTTGTCGTTAAATGCCATTGAGTTGGTTCCGACACATAGCAACCCTGCATAGGGTCTGGACTCATAGCAACCCAGTATACGGTTTCTAAGGACTGGCTGGTGAGTTTGAACTGTGAATCTTGCAATTCAAACCAACCTGCGGTCCAGCGCATTATCCTGTAGCACCACATTAGAACTCTGGGAAGTGCTAGTGAATGTAAATACTATCATTTTGAAAAATACCCAAACAAAAAGGTTAAATGTTATTTATCCAGAATATTAGTGTCAGAGTCACACAATATGCACATAATTAATTGCACAAAGATAATATTGACTAAATAAAAGTTAAAGAAAAATTTAAAATGAAAGCATCTATTATTTATGAAATGCAACCATGTATAGTAAGAATGGAAGATAAGAAAGGAAGTCAAAACTCCAGATGTAAGGCAGGGACCATGTCTAGGAGGAACAGGGACCATACAATTGGGGCTAAGTACACAGAACTGGAATTGTTGTTATGTGCCATTGAGTCAGTTCCAACTCATAGCTACCCTGTATAGGGTTTCTGAGGAGCAACTGGTGACTTTGAACTGCCTACCTTGCAGTTAGCAGTCCAGAGTTTATCCTACAGTACCACACCAAGATCCCTTAATTGGTGTTGGCACCACTTTATTTTTTAAGCTGGGTTGTGACACATATGTTCATTATATTATTTTTAGTTTTGTATATTTCTGAAATATTTACCCCATAATCTTTTTTAAAGAAAAAACTGATGGCCTAAGTTGTTTGTAAAATACTGATAAGAAAAGGAAAAAGAACAAAGACTTTTCATTCCTTTTGAGTGACCAATTTTCTACTTAAGAGCAAACTTTAGACAGGCTATCTCCCCGCAAGACAGAAAGTAGTTTTGAGGTAAAACACAGGGACAGCACTCACATGCAGAATTGAGGGCCCAGGTGACAGATGTCTGTGCGATGAGATTCAGTCATTGAAACTCAAACTGTACCCGGCATGATGACCCTGATCCCACATTTCCAGACAGAAAGCCTGGTTCCATGTGAGCTGCCATGGATGACATAAATGATGAATTTACAAAGTCAGCTCCTGAGAGGAGCAGCAGATTTCAGAAGTTCCCTTGTTCTCCCTGTAGCATGGGTGAGGAGGCAATGGTGCTTTTACCTCATTTAGTGTTTCATCTGACATCTACTCAGCTCACCTGCTGCTCCATGGTGCTTGGATCAATAAAAGTCACCAGGTCTATAGAGAAGTAACCAACCACATCTCTCATTTTGCAGGCATTTCCAATTTGGAGGCACAGAGAATGGAGAACTTGGGGATCTACTGAGGTCTGAGGCAAGGTGGTACCAGAGGAGATCAAGGGGCTCTCTGCATGGAACTGGTCCCCCGTTGATAGCATCCTGATGACTCCGTTGGGCTCTATCAGCATGTCCACTGTGAGGTTGGTGACACTTTCTGCAGGTGGGAATGCTTCGATCACGCCCCCTGGTGGGAAAAGCATGGAGTAGGTCAAAGGATGGATTCACGGGGACTTTGCTCATTGAGGGTAAGAGCACATACACTTGGCAGCTGGGTGGGGCTCAGACCCTGAAATCTTGTTATAAGAAACAATGGGCAAGCAACTTTGATTCCTGGAACTACTTCCTTTTCTGTCGGGGTCTAACCTCGACATAGTTGTGTTGTTCATGAGTGTTTGGTTCAAGAGGAGGGGAGATCCAGCAGCGATAGAGATAGCAAAAGAATACACAGACAGACAGAAAGAGGGAGACAATGAGGCACCCCAAAGCCAGGGTGGATACATCACTAGTGGGCAGACTTGGGAGTACAGGCATCGTGGCCTCTGCAGGCAGCAACTCACTGCCCTGCAATCTTTACTGCATGCCCTCCATCTTGTAATGCACACCTGGGGAGGCCTGGGCCTCTGTTTTATTTAGAGGAGGAGCTTCACACCAAGCTGGGAGGGACTAAAACAAGATACAGCTAACATCAGTAATTTTCCAGACATTCAGGTAACTTTACATCGTACTTTGCTGGTTCAAATCCCAGGCCAGCAACTTGGTTTCTCAGGCTCAATTAACATATCTATAGCCCCTGAGCTCAGTTTGGGGAAGGTGAGAGGTAAGGACAACAGCTTGGGCGGAGTCCTGCTGCTTCGGCTTCCTGAGCCAGGTTTTCAGGAGGACTGGAGATGCCCAGGTGAATGGGCTGCACCTGGAAAAGGGATTAGGGAGGATGGGTTCTTTGTCTATAGAACAAAGAACCGAGAAGTAGCTAAGGTATTTTTAGTTAATCCTTTGGAGGAAGGCTTGACCTTGCAACCTTCACAGTCTCGGCTTTAGGGGGTTCTAATATTTCTCTGTGGATAATAAGAGCTCATATCTGCAATTAATAAAATATAACCAGATATTAAGATGGAAAACAATTTGCCATTAACTGCCAAGTGGCTAGATCTGTTACACTCGGGCCTATAGGGCCTCGAACCTCTGACCAGGCCTACACAGTCTGCAACACTTTTTCTCATTTGTAAAATGGATATAAATATGTATTTATCTCTCTCTCTATATATAGGTTGTTGTTGTTGTTAACAACAGTCAGTTCTGACCCATAGCAACCCTGTATAGGGTTTCCGAGGAGTGGCTGGTGAGCTTGAACTGCCGGCCTTGCGGCTCAAGTTGACTTTACAGTCTAGCGCGTTAACCCACAGTGCCACACCAGGGCTCCCTCTCTCTCTATATGTGGATATAAATACATATATCTAGATATAAATACACACACACACACACACACACACACACATATATATATATATTAGGAGCTCTGGTAGCGTAGTGGTTACGAATCGGGCTGCGAACCTTAAGGTAAGTGGTTCGAAACTACCAACCGCTCCGCGGGAGAAAGATGAGGCTTTCTACTCCCGTAAGGATTTACACCCTCGGAAACCCTGTACAGGGTCGCTATGGGTCGGAACCGACTCGACGGCACTTAACAACAACAACATATATATTATATATATATACGGAGTCCTGGTATGGTACTATGGGTTAATGCACTAGACTGCAAAGTTAGCGTGACCCCCAAGGTTGGTGGTTCAAGTTAACCAGCTGCTCTTCAGACACTCTATACAGGGTCGCTATGGGTCGGAACCAACTCCATAGCACTTAACAACAACAACAACATATATATGTATTTATATATGTATTTATATAAGTATTATGTGCTATGGAGTCAGTTCTGACTCATAGCAACTCCGTACAGGGTTTCTGAGGTTGCAAATCTTTACGGGAGCAGAAAGCCTCATCTTTCTCCCATGGAACAGCTTGTCGTTTCTAACTGCTGACTCTGAGGTTAGCAGCCCATATATATATAAATTATATAAAACCTACCTTACTGAATGATTGTGAGTTTTAGAGAGATTGCAGCTGAAGTATTTGCCCAATGTTTGGCATGTAGTAAGGCTTAATGAATGGCAGCTTGAATTCTGATCATGATTAAGAAGACATAACAAAACAGGATCACTGGTACATGCCCATGCCATTCATTACATAAAGGATAAGCCAAGGACTATGGGCAAATTCCTCAGGGGGAATTAACTGCCCATAGGCCAATTTGTATCTTGGTGACCAACTGTTGGTGACCAGTGCTCAACTTCACTACTTTTTGAAGATTCGACAGGTTTGGGTTTTAATCAGGCACAAGGAAACAATACATTATCCAGAGAACTCCTATATATATAAAGCCTATTTTAAAACTTAAAAAAAAAAATAGATATAGAGAGAAAGCTGGGAGATGTTGCTTCTTTTGAGGCAGAATTGTGCTTCCTCCTTATAGATAATGAGAGCTTTAGAGTATTTAGCTTCATCTACTTTTGTTTGGAATACCAAAAAACATAAAGTAAATTTGATGCTTATAGCAACAGTATTGTTGTTAAGTGCTGTTGAATCAGTTCTGACTTATAGTGACCCTGTATAGAGTTTCTGAGGAGCAACTGGTGGATCTGAACCACCAACCTTGAGATTCAATCTGACCTTGCGGTCCAGTGCTTATCATACAATACCATAACACAATGCACTGACTAATTGTGTAGGCTAGCTTTATGACCTTGATTTTTTTTTTTAATGCTTTATTGTGAATTATGTGATAGTTTACATGGGAGAACATTAGTTTTACATTCATTCTATCGTATTTTGTCTCTCATTGCCATGGTTACAATCCCCTCCATGCAATCCTTCCCCCCGTACCCCCCAGGTCTTCAGCACCCAGTCATTTTCCCTCTCTGGATCTAAAGTCTCCAGCTGCTTCATCGCTCCACGTCATCATCTCTGGCTCCATTTCAGGCATCACTGCTTCTCTGGGTAGGGTCCCGCTCTCTGCTCTTCTCCCTTGAAGGTCCTAGGGACCTCCGCTCCTAGACTGAAAAGTCAATCACTCCCCTCCTTGCTATAAAACATCTACCTTTACATTTCCAACCCTCACAATCAGTCCTGATAACAATTATTCAATATTGTATCACAAGAGACCCGTCTGCATTTCATTGCATCAACCCCGCCTAGACAGATTGAATACTACTCACTGGAAATTCTACTTTCCTCCATGCCCTCTGGATCTAGGTTCCCTCTTGAAAGCTTGTAAGCCAGTCACTTCTTGCCTTTGTAGCCCCCCACCCCCCATTTTGGGTAGCCAATGTCCAAGTTGCCCATCCCTGTCTACTCTGTGTGTGGAGGGTGTGGGAATGATTCTTGCTGTAAGGACTTGTTCCCTCTTTTGAGCTACTGCTTCCATAGGTGTAGGTCAAGTTCATCAAATTGTATGAGAATACTCACTGAAGCCAGGATAAGTGGGTATTATCTGCAAGTGTGGGTGTTCTTATGCATATGCCCTCTCTTCTTATCAGCTGGATACTTCATTCTCCACTCTAGTCCTTTGTGGCTATGTCACTGACTCTGGGCCCAAGAGTCCCCAGGTCTTGCCACACTGCTGGCCAACCAGGACTTCACCCGGGTTCACAGAAGTCTATTGAACGTTGTAGGGCTTAGGTCACTGCTTCATCGCTGTTTTTCCCTCACTTCCCCTTATCGGTGTCAAGCGTGGTCACCAATCACAGCGTGTATTCCCACTGAGTCTTAGTCTTGGAAGGAAGTTTGCACTGAGGGGACCCGACCACTTGTCTTGATGTTTCCTGGGCAAGCATGTTGCTTGTTCTTGTAGTAACAGTCGGTCTGCCTATGTTGTTTTATATTTTTCCTGTAGGTCTTTCTTTCAAGAAGCATCTTCTGTTCTTCTAGCCACTCCAGGTTGGTCTGCTTGTCCTTTCAAGCGGGAATCTCCCATCTCTGGAGATCTGGATGTGGTTCAGGCTTCCACCTACAGTCTTATGTATTGCAGAGGCTCCGCAGGAAGCCTCCTTCACTGGGCACCTTGTAGCCCCATTTTAGGTATTCCAATCAGTTATAGGCAGAAGACGGACTTACAAGCTTTCTATGGTGATGCTTTTCGCTATTCCTTTCTCTCCCCCTCCAGTGTCTATTTTATAATATAATGCAAATGACCTTGATTTTTATCTATGTCTTTTCTACAAAACATTTTAACAAACCAACCACATATATGTAAAGAGTTAGATAATTTGTAAGTAAAAACAACTAAGTGTTCCCTAGAGAGAGGAGCTGTGGACCCTGATGGCTTTAAGATAAAACTGATCTGCATTTCACAAATGTGCTGGGTGGGGAAAAGAGGGGTGACTTTGCCCACAGGTACAAGTCAGGCACTTTCAACAGCATGTTGAACAGTATGGTTAAATTCTGAGATTTTTAGCAATTCTCAAACTGCAGCCATCTGTTACTCCATACAAAAGACATTGTCCTTAAATGTCTATAAATTTGGCTGGAGCTGGTCCTCATGAAAGCTGAGTTTGGGAAGGCAACTGATTGATACTGAAGAGTACACAGCGATTCAGTTGGTTGGCTCAGGATGTCCTTTTTTTTTTCAAATGAGGCCAGCTTGTGTGTGCTACGCCTAAATCCTAGTTGTTGGGGACTTCACAAAGTAAGTAACAACAAAGCAGAGTTTCTGATTCAGTTAACTTTGTGGATTTGTTATTGTTAAGTGCCATCCAGTTGGTTCCGACTCATAGAGACCCTGTATAGGGTTTCCACGGAGTGGCTGGTGGATTTGAACCGCCGACCTTGTGGTTAACAGCCCTGTGCTTATCCTACAGCATCACACCTTTGAGAAAGGAGCACTAGAGGCACAATGAAACTCACCCAGTGACTCAGGGGGAGGAATGTCCCAGCTCTCTGCTCCCATAAAGATTGCTGTTGTTGTTATGCGCCATCAAGTCGTTTCTGACTCATAGCGCCCCTGCAAAGGATTTCCAAGGAGCGGCTGGTGAAATTGAACCGCTGACCTTGGGGTCCAAACTGACCTTGCGGTCCAGTGCTTATCCTACAGCACCATACCAGGACTCTACACAGGCTAAAAAAGCAGTTCTA